AGAATGAGAAGACTGCCTTTTGGTTGACAATAAACATAAGCGAAACTGTTGTCTATGAATTGATACACAAATAGGAAAGACGGACAGTTGTTCAAAATATCATAAGAGGTTCTTGGAGTTAATCATTGGTGTGCATAACAAGTGATTCTACCCATTACAAGTCTTTTATCCCTTGAGACTCAAGTGTGTTTAATTTGTGCGTCAGTATTTAAACTTTTTTGCTGCATTGCAACATTTAATAAGACTGGTGATTTAGTAACATCCTCATGGGGTACCCGCTTTGCAGCTCAAGAGACAGGAGCTTCAAAGAGCATTGTCTATCTTAAGGTACTTTCTTATCTACTACTGCATCCAATCATTGTTTCATCCTATGCAAGAGACGAACTCTGGCAGTTCGGACGATTATGCTCAAAATAAATTTAGACTAGAAGATGTTTGAGAGTCGTAAAGCCTTTTTTGGTCTTATAAGTAAAATTTGCATGTAGTAAAACTTATTAAGTTGGGTAGTTGAGTTCCAAACTTTCAGCCATGGTCATGTTCATCTGTAATCGATTTATTTCTCGATGGCGTAACATTTTATTAAGTCAATTATCACTCGCCTCACTGAATATCAACGAATTTTTTCTCACAGACACATCACATTAGTCATTCCATGATTCCATGTAACAGTAAATCTGTTTGTGTTATTACCGGATACCACTTTTCTGAATTGCATACTGTTTTCTCTTATCATTTGAAGAGAATTATAAGGGATTAAGGTTTAAATTATTCAGTTCATTATTTTGCTCGATGAATTCATGTATGTACCTATTAAATATTCGTTTAAGATCCGTTCAAAGATTATTAATACTCTCCAAAATGAGTTTTGTCTCATTACCTATCCTTGACTCAATTTTAAGTCGGTATTCTCAAAAGATCTTTTTTAATTATTGTTGTGCTGAACCTTATGGAGGTTCTACGGTTACAGCATTGTAATTCTATACACTTATGCAAATAGCATAAATAGTGCACTGCAATATTTTAGATTAAATTAGAAAAATCTCCCATATAATCCTCCTTTCCTGCTATGTTCAACCGCACAATTGTTTTTGCGCCTGTAAATGTACATCATTATGATATTAAACGTGCTAAATCTTCACATCTAATGATCAAGATGTTCCATATAGTGTTTGTTTCATTTCCTTTTCCAACTGAACCGGTCTCATTTCACCTTCACTGACTTTGAGCTGCGGTCATTCTCATCCTGACACCTTTTTAGTTT